CTTTCCCTATGTTATCAGTACATACAGCTTTGGAACGAGATGGGTACTTGCTCTAGTGGAGGATCTACAGGGATTTCCTCAGCATCACATTTACCTGCACTCATGTGAGGTATGGGCTGTGCTGCCTCCCTCCATGGTCCTACCTCTATCTGGTGTAGATCAGTAGTAACAGGAGTGCAGGTATGAACCTGCTGAGGATCACTGCCATCTCCACTGTTCTTCTGCACCCAGGGGCTGATCTGCCAGCACTCAGCAGATGAGATGCTCTTTCTGGAGCAGGAGCCATATCAGCCTAATTGGGCTGGAAAGCTGGATCCCTTCCAGAGCTTAATCAAAGTTAAAAATAGAACCAACTTATTGCTGCCTTCAAGATGGGAAATCAGGGAAGCAGTTCTCACTGGAGCTGTAATGAGTTGAGCAGAGAGCAGTGTAGTTATCTTTACTCAGGTGTTTGCACACATGCACGTGCCTGTTTGTACCCACTGTTAGGAAGCAAAATAACAGTATTTCCCACTAATGCATTTAGCAGTCTAAGACATCTCCTTGTTCCTTAGCAATTTTGAAGGGCCATGAGTTCTTCTGTATTAACCCCATTGGGTGTCTTTTTGTTAAAGAACAGGCACAAGTTCCTGCTCTGCCTTTGGAGAAGTGGTATCAGCTGCCTGTCCTGGTGCTCACCTCTAGAGATGGATGAACTTTTGCCTTGTGGGTCCTTCCTGATGTTCATTTTGTGTCTCTTTGGCCAGAGGGTGAGGAAGAGGAAGAGGATGAAGAGGAGGAGGAGGAAGAGGAGGAAGAAGAGGAGGACAAAGACATAGATTCGATGGATGAAAGCATGGAGGGTGACACAGAGCTGCCGGGCTTCACGCTTCCAGGCGAGACCTCCCAGGAGCCCCTAGGAGGCCTGGAAAACCCTGTAGCCCAGCTGGCTGGGGTGTCCTACCAGGTTCCTGACACCATTGAATGGGAGCAGCAGAACCAGGGTCTGGGTAAGAGCAAAAACACCTTCTCTTCCCCTTGCAGAGGACATATCTCCTGCTCTTCTCTTTCCGTGGGACAGCCCCTGGTGCTGGGAAGTCTCACGGGCTGGCTCTCGAGCTAAACACACAGCAGGTTCATTTCTGAGGAAAAACCATCCATCAGGGACAACTGGTTGAACTGGGGTGGGTGTCAAGCAGCGTGACCTGAGTTTTCCTTTTGGGGAGAGCTGCTCTGAATACTCCAGACCTGCTCCTTCATTCCTTGAGCACTAATGACTAGGAATAGCTTATCAGTGTTTGTATATGTGATGTTTGCCTGATGCAAGTCAAAGCTGGTGTGGGACAAGCTGGAGTGTAGAAGGGAACTCGCCCAGCTTGGCTAAGGGCACTGGGATTATTCCCCAGCACACTCAGTTTCCAAGCCAAGCCTCATCAAAAGTGGCAGGTGAATCAGTAGGAGCTGAACTACATCTATACAGAAGGTCTCAAATGAAGAATCCCCCAAACTCTTTTATTTGTTTTGTTAGAAGAACTGTCACTTCCCCTGGATGTTTAATTTTGATCTCACCTGATGGTTCTCCCCCTGTAAGGCTGTTTCCAGCTTTCTTTAGCCTTTTTAGCTTCCTCTGAATTGAATCAAAGAGCATATTTCAAAAGCTCCTTGGGAGGGTTGCTCTTTGAGGGCAGACTGAATTTGGATCAAGTCTTATATCTCCCTGTTCCCCTCACTCCTGCTTGATAAACATCGTATTTGATGGTTGCTGTGTCAGATCTGCTTCACGTGTCCTGTTATCTCATCAGGATGGACAGGAGCTGTGCAAGTAATTGTAAGTGTTTAATGACTTTGTGTTCGGCTTTGACAAGCTGGATTAAGGAGGTAAATGATGGTGCTTGGAGGAAAGGTGTGTAAGAATCGTAGTGTTATGGTGGAGTCACATCAGCAACATTGTGTTCCCATCTTGCTCATTTTCTTGATGCAGGATCTCTGTGGTGCCTTGTGAGAAAACGTGAGAGAAGCAGCATATTATCTGCTCTCAGGGGTGCAATGGGCTGGCTTGGTCAGTCCTGTATGGCTGCTAACACTAGTGAGAAGGTGACATTAAGTTGGTGACCATCTAATGCTATTTGCCTGGTTCAAGACTGTAAGTGCCCGGAGAAGGCTCTGGAGAGACCTTTGAGCACCTTCCAGTACCTGAAGGAGCTACAGGAAAGCTGGGGAGAGACTTTGTACAAGGGCAGGGAGTGATAGGACAAGTGAGAATGGGTTTAAACTGGAGGAAGGAAGATTTAGGTTAGACATTAGGAAGAAATTCTTCACTCTGAGAGTGGTGAGACACTGGCCCAGGTTGCCCAGAGAAGCTGTGGCTGCCCCATCCCTGGCAGTGTTGAAGGGCAGGTTGGATGGGGCTTGGAGCAACCTGGGCTGGTGGGAGGTGTCCCTGCCTATGGCAATGGGGTTAGAACTAGATGATCTTTAAGGTCCCTCCCAACCTAAACCATTCTGCGATTCTATGTTTTAGAGGCACAATGAGGGCTGAGGACTTTCATGACCTGACACCAAAAATCTGAGGCGAAGCAAGAAGCTCAACCGAGGTGTTCAAAGGACTCGTTTGATGGGAGTGTGTGGGGAATGGGAGATGCTGTTGCACCTCCTTGGTGGTGCTGGGCTCCTCTTCCATGAGATGCTGCTGCAGTAGTGTAGCCCTTCCCCTCTTTCCACTTAGTGCCAGGTGGGAATTTCTGCCCTGGTTCCCTGGCCCTGGGTGTGTGGGCACTCACTGGGCAGCTGCTGTACCCATACCTGGTGTCCATATCCCTGGTTCTAGCTACACATTTCTTTGTGGGGTGTGTTAGGGGGAACAGGAAGTGTGGAAAATGTGCATAGCTTGTGTCAGTAGCAGGTGGATTGTTACGAACAGAATAAGTCCCCCAAACCTGGCAGAAGGCCAGAAGAGCTGCCCACATTGTTCTGCTGGAGCTCCTGGGGAGACCAGACTCACCGTGAAGGGTTTGTAAAGATTTAGATCTGCTGGACATGGACTATTTCTCTTTGAAACCCTTTTTCTCAAGTGCTTTTCATCTAAAGCTACCTCTTGGAGATCCACTTCCTTTCAGTGCTCTTCTTCTAAAGCTGAAATAAACCTGACTTTAGTTTCCAGACAGCTCAGTAACAGCTGGACATCCCCAGACACAGTCCCTGGAGGAGGGAGCTGGGTCAGGGGCATTGAGCTCCCACACAACCTCAAGCCCATGGCCTTGTGCATCCTGGAGAAGAGCTCTGTTCTCCCCTTCCTTTGCCAAGTAGTGATGAGGTGTGAGGAATTTCCCATCTTGTGGGAGCGAAACATGGTTTAGAGAGGGAAGTTGTCCTGCTTAAGGTGGGATATGGCACTAGAAGGGGGAGAAAGGTAACAGTGCCCAACAGAGTCCAAGATGGGATCACACCATCTAAGCACCAGACTTTCACAGTTGGCATTTCCCATCTTTAAAATCCTTTGTACACGAGATCCTTCTCCTGGGGGTGCATCTGTCCTCTGGCCTTCAGAATTTTGACAGCTCAGGCTAAAATGTGTGGTACAGAAAAGCTCAGAGGTGTGGGAGCAGCTCCTCTCAGGTCAGTGATTACTGCGCTTGCTTGGTCTGATGGCTGACACACTGCAGATCCCAAGGGAACGAGAACCTTGATCCACCAACAGCTTGGCAGAGCAAGAGACAGTTGAAATCTTTGTAGTGGGCAATGAGAAAGTGCTGGGGAAACAAAATCGTTAACAATATCAATTCTGGGAAGTCAGATAGTCCTGCATTAACTCCAGCTGAGCAGAAGCAATTTATAGGCACCAGTAATGAGGCTGTCAGTTTTACAGCCCATCAAGTGACTCTCCAACCAGCAGTATTTAGATAAAAAGTGAAGCAGAAGATGGTGTCATCTGTGCCTTTATAAAATTTATGGAATTTGATCCTCCAGAAGTGGTTCTGATGGCCTGCAGCTCTGGAGAAGGAAGGTCTGAATATGATTTGGGATCTGTTTTGGTGTCCTGTTCAAATGCTTTGTGTTCAGAGGTTGCTGGTGAAGGACACAGCAACACTTTGGGACCTCTCTGCCTTGTGTGTGACATGACTTTGACCTTTGTCTATTTATTCCTTCATCTGTGTGTAGGTGGTGTGTGGCTGGTGAACACCAGCTGTTCAGAGAGCATCAGAGAAGTATGGAACTTGGGCTTTCTGGGAATGAAAAAACCCACATCATTTTTCCTTACTACCTATTTTGTGATTGTTTGTGCATGACACAGTTGGTTTGCAGTTGGTTTCAAATGTAGAGAACAGTTTCTTTAGATTATTCCTCATGAATGTTAAAGTAGATGGTCTTTCTTGTGCACCTCCATGGAGATGAAGGCCCTCTGCTTCTGTGCTGGTGGTGGTAACTGTGGTACTGCTCTCCTCCCACTTCTCAAGAGTATTTATTTTCCCAGTGCCTGTGAGAATCCCTATGTGACAGACCATGAGCCAAGATGTAGTAACTTAGCTTGAACTGGTGTGGGAACTTTCAGGCAGAGCATGAAAATGTCCCCAGGCTCCCAAGCTCTTTGTCAAAGCCATAGTGCTTGCCTATTGTCCATGTCCCAGGATGAAAAATTCCTCTCTCCATACTAAGGTGGCTGCAGGAGGCCTAGGGCAGTTCACTAAGCCTTTAATTTTGCTACTTTGGGACATGCAGCAGTTTGTTTAGTGCATTCAAAACATATGGAGTTGTTTGGAGGGCCATTTTCATCTTGAGGCTTCTAGAGTTGTGACACTTTGGATATATGGCTCAAGTTGTCTTAGCAGAGGTTTTTGTGGTGGACTTTCATTCTTCAAGATGTTGACCGATACCACCAGTTGCTTATCCTGGGCCACCACTAATGTGAGATAACAGCAGTAAACAGAGGAGACACTGATTCCAACCATAAACCTTAACAGAGGAAACTCCATTGTTATGCTCAAAATCTTGTTTTATGAGCAAAGAGGAGACACACCTCATATATATAAGCCAAAACATGAATTGCTAATATAGTTGAGGCCTTAAGAGTCTAATCACTGTTAGTCCATATCTACTTATTAAAGGAAAAGAAAGAATAATTTAGTTAAGATTGTTACACACAGACTCCTTAGTTTCTGTGCTTTAGCCTGGAGTTGTGTTGGTCCTTGCTTCTGTGGGTCCTAAAGTTGGTGGTTTCATCCAGGGGTTTGTGCTGGGTCATCAATATCTCGAGGCCTTTGCCAGGAAGAATACAATGCTCACATTGATGGTTTCTTCTTCCTCACCTTAGGGTCCACTTGAAGCCATTTTTATGTTTGCTAGCACCTTGCTATTTCTTAATTGATCTGCAGTGCTATATTACACCAGAATCTACACTATCTGGTGGCTTTCATGTAGGTTAGATACTATTTTTTGTTGTCTTGTTTACCCTAAACCCATTTTTGTCCATGTCTACCATTTCTTTAACTGACCATTGGTTGTTTTAGCCCCCTGTTGGTCACAATGGCAATACCATATTACAGGGCAAGGTGATTATGCTGTAGCTTGTAGGAAGCCACCTGAGTTGGCTGATTCCCCAGTGTCCTTTGTTGGTTTCCATCTACCCATGGAGGTGTTGTACATAGTGAACTTTGGACCATCTCTGTAGATGGGGATTAAAGAAAAGAAGAAAAAGAGGTAGAGTTTAGAAAGAAGTTATGAACTCTGACAATGTAATTCTCTACTTGCTGTTTCCAAAATAGATACCATGGCTGCATTTCATGTATTTTTGTGGGTAAGATCTTAGTAGTTGCAAGAATGGAAGGTCATATAGCTCTCTCACTTAGGTAATGACAAGGCACTTGCACAATAAACACACTGTTGGAAGGTGATGTTTTTCTTTTTTTAATGGATAAAAAATATTTACAGCTCTGAGTACTGGAAAAATAGCTCTGGCTCTATTGCAGATCTGTGGTCACCAATTACACCATATAATGAGTGCCAGCAGTTATTG